CGGGTACACTATCCATCAACTTTATGTATCAAAACTCTTCACATATATACATACGGTTATCTTACCCAAATTTTGGTGTACCGTACAACCCGTATAGTACTTCGACATACTAAACTTTCTAATATCATAAATGTAAGATATCAATATAGTACCATGTCATACTCAAATTCTAATACAAAAAAATCTTATATTCGAAATAAAATATACAAAATTGGTGCTACTAGTGATATACTAAAATCAATATTTAGAAAATAACAAAAAATTAAACTAGAGAAAATTTATTAAATATGATAAAAATATAGACACTGCATAAATAATAAGGTCAACATTATTTTATTCCTAAAGCAGAATTCCACTCCTACTTGGGAAAGTTTTATGCTTATAATATACTAGCTTTATCCCAATTGATTCACCAAATTGACTTTTTTTGGTCAAACAGTTTCATTTTATTCACTTAATTAAGATATCAATTTTTAACTATATTCTAATTTGGATTTTGCAACTTTGAACATGTTTTAATGTAGTTTCTGAATATGTAAATTTTAATTGTTAAAGTTTGAATTAATTGTCAATAGTGAGAATTTTACTTTAACATTGGTTGACCTAAAAATGTTGACTTCTAATTTAGGACAGAGGGAGTAATTTTTTTCCAAATATATTACTTTAATAAAACTTATTTACATAAATATGACTAATATAGTTATTAAAATGTACGTAGTTTCATAGTAACTTAAGTTTAAAACATAAGTTACTATGATTTCATCACTACCCTAGTCACTATTCACATTTTTGTAAACAATCTTTATTTTAATCATAAATATGTAATTATTTCTATAATATAATCAATTAACTCCTATTTTGAGAATAAAACATACAAAGTAGTTAATTACATTTATTTGTGCACTTTTGATGGCCCAGACTAACAACTTTATCTATGTTTTGTTTCTATTTGAAGCATTTTGTTCTAAAATCTAATAAGAACCTATTGGGGTTCAATCTTGAACAATAATTATTATAATTATGTTTCTACATTTAAACATATCACATGCTAAAAATAACACATTCTCCTAAAATAATTTAAACAAACATGGATATGCATAAAACAATAGTTATCTCCACCAAAAAGTAAAAATAATTCAAATAACATGGATATATGATCATTTCCATTAGAATAATATTGCTTCTGGTATAACTAATTTGACTTTTGGTATAATCGTATATTTATCACTTCTGGTATGTTATCCAAGTACAATAACATGAGAATCAGTCATACCTGCTATTATATTTTGAAATAATCACTTATATTTTTTACACGTATATCAGGAAAATAATTTGAGAGAAGTGGTGCCGATAGAATCACTTCTCATGAGAATCAATCATACCTCCTTCTTCACTTGTTGAAATAATCTCTTCTTAAAACATATATAGGTTTATCATCATTTAAAAATAATCAAAAAGTGGTGATGATAGAAAGATATCTGCTTCTAAAACTTATTTGAGAGAAGAAGATTTAAATTTAACGAAGGAAATATGTGGAAATAAAGTAAAATGGTTCATTAAACTGTTTGCGCTTCTTTGTTATGAAACATTAGTCAGTTCATGCAATTTTCGACGCGATTTTCGTTATGAGTCATCCGAAAACAGTCTCTTTGTGTTTTAGTGCAGGGGTAAGACCGTGTACATCTGACCCTCCTTACTCCACCGTAGGTGAGAGCCTTTGCAGCACTGTGAGTAGTGATGATGATGAAAGGAAATATGTGGAAATGGAAGAAATCTATTAATTTACCAGAAATTAAATGCATTGAAGAACGATCATCTACAAAAGCTTTACTCAAGAGCCAAAAGGGGTAAAAAAAAGTGGGTCGGAGATACTACCTTCATCCCCTAACATTGAGACGGAAGAGATTGTTGTGGTTTTTAAGAAATTGGAATTATGTGATTGATAATGAGTTTATAAAGTGAGAATAAAGTAAGAATCAATTTGAGCCACTCAAATATTACCAAATATGGTATGAAATAATTTTAGTGGGACGAACGTAAAAGGAAAAATCAGACAATTATAATGGGACGGAGGGAGTATCATTTTTCCTACTACTTATCTCGTAAATGAATTTTTTGGCGGTATATATTTTCATCGGCGGGAAATTTTGCAGATACTTTTTACATTTTGACCATATCTCTCAAGTTTTGCTGAGTCAACATGTGAAAGACCATATTATCATAGGACAATGATGTCAACATTGTTTTAATTAATTGTTATCAGGTCAGTATTAGATTGACGATAACGTACTACGTTGGAAATGAATATATAATCGAAATGTTATAGTGTTATGATGAGACACTTCTTTCAATGTCAACGGTGGAACATTGGTGATGCTCTTAGTATACCACAAAATTGCACGAATTCTGATAAATTGTGTACATTTTGAATACAATAAGTTTTTTTGCAAGGAAAACAATAAGTTATGATATACTGAAATTCTTATGATTTTTCTCTAACCCTAATTATGTAGTGAGTAGGGAATTGCAAGTTTTTAGAAAGGGAATCCATAAGTTTACCCAATTCACTCCATTGCAGTGAAGAACAATCATCTACGAAAGCTTTACTCAAGAGCCAAAAGGGGTAAAAAAAAGTGGGTCGGAGATACTACCTCCGTCCCCCTAACATTGGGACGGAGGAGTTTGTTGTGGTTTTTAAGAAAATTGGAATTATGTGATTGATAATAAGTTAATAAAGTGAGAATAAAGTAAGAATCAATTTGAGCAACTCAAATATCACCAAATATGACATGAGATAATTTTAGTGGGACAGACGTAAAAGGAAAAATGAGACAATTATAGTGGGACATAGGAGTATCATTTTTCCCACTACTTATCTCGTAAATGAATTTTTTAGCAGTATATATTTTCATCGGCGGGAAATTTGTTAGATACTTTTTACATTTTGGCTGTCTCTCTCCACACGTTTTGCTGAGTCACCATGTGAAAGACCATGTTATCATAGGACAATGATGTCAACATTGTTTTAATTGATTGTTATCAGGTCAGTATTAGATTGACGATAACGTACTACATTGGAAATGAATATATAACCAAAATGTTATCGTGTTATGATGAGGCACTTCTTTCAATGTCAACGGTGGCACATTGGTGATGCTCTTAGTATATCACAAAATTCCACGATTTTCGATAAATTGTGTACATTTTGAATACAATAAGTTTTTTTACAAGGAAAACAATAAGTTTTGATATACTGAATTCTTGTAAATTTTCTCTAACCCTAATTATGTAGTGAGTAGGGAATGCGAGTTTTTGGAAAGAGAATCCATAAATTTACCCAATTCACTCCATTGGTGTAAAAAGAATATGGAAAATGTGAGAGGTCCTTCTAGGCAAGGAATTGCACAAGCGAGGCAATGATGACGTCATGATGATATCTGCTTGATGTCACTAAAAACCGTGTAAAGTTCTCATAAAAATCGTTTCCAAATGTTCACGACATGATTTACCCAACTAATTTAGTTCAATTTGAATTTCTAAATTTATGTTATAAAAATATTCTTGCGTACTTTTTGAATATATAAATTTTATTTATTAATACTAATGTGTGCGGTTTAATAGATCCTTTGAGAAACGGATAAATGAAGATATTTTTAAATAAAATTGAAGCATAGACAAAATATAAAAATATGTCTATCATTTTCTCTCTCTAAATATAGGATTCATTCATTCTTAATTGTGGAATTTTTATACTTTTAATAAAATCAAACAATTCTTTTTTCGAGAGCAGAACATAGTTAACTCTTACTCCTATGTATGCAACTTGTGTATATTTTTGTCTTGCTTGAACACATTTGTACATTTAGAGTTGTTTTATAATTCTGGAAGTGAATCAGTTGAAATTGATGAAGTTTTGGATGAACTAATTGAATTGGTTGAATTTATTTAATTATAAAAAATTAAATTTAAAATATATTTTATTAATGAAATAAAAAATATTATACTCTGTATGGATAATTAGTTAAAACAGTCCTTCATAGAAACTTCAACTGATTCGGTAGAAAAATAGTTTTAATTTTAATTATCACATAATTCAGAAATTAAAAATTATTTTCATTATGTTTTGTGAAAAACTGATGAGACTGACAAGTTTAATTCATAATTTTGAAAATGGGAAAATAATTTAAATACCCCAAACTTTGAAGAGGTGTAATGTAAGCACCCCAAACTTTCATATGTAATATTTATGCCCCAAAGTTTATATAAAAAGTAGTATTAGTACCATGATCATATGTTTTTTTATTTCACAGTGTAAATTTATGATGCTTTAACTACATCTCTATAAATGTAGGTGAAATTCATATTAATATTCCGTACTTTTGGTGATTCTATAATAATAATGACTACTGAAAAAATCAATACAAATAATCCAAACTCGTAAATGCGTCTGCATAGATAGATTAAACCTTCATACATAGATTATTATCCTTCAAGAAAATAATTATAACAATGATATAAAAAATACTAAACTCAATTTTATGACAATGGTGAACAAAGTCAATACTGTATCCTTATATATTAAATATCATAAAAGATTAATCTAATCTATCTATGTAGATGTGTTTATGAGTATGGATTATTTATATAGACATCTTCGGTATGAATTATTATTGTAGAATCGCTAAAAATATGGATTATTGATATGAATTTCATCATAAATGTTTAAGTATTTTAAATCATATGCACACCATAAGTTTACATTTTCGAATAAAAGAAATACATATTAATGATGCTAACATAACTTTTTATGTAAAATTTGGGATATACTTGTATATATTACATAAGGAGTATGAAAATTTGGAATGCTTATCTCACGTTCTTTCAAAATTTAGGGTATTTAAATTATTTTCTCTTTTCTAAAATTATACTAAAATTTTGATTTCACTTTTGAAAGGAATACTAACGTATTAAAATGCAAAGAGCTACGCGGTTTGTCAAAAGAAGAAACGAAGTGCCCACGCTGTCTATCTTGTCTTTTCCTTTCTTCTCTCTGTTCCTTCTCTTTTCCTCCTCGACCGTTCACAAGAAGCACCCCAAGCTTTTAGGGTTAGGGTTTTTCTTTTGCCGCAAAACCCAAACTTCCAGGTCTGTTTCATACCAGCAGGCCACGGACTTGGGTTCTTGGAGTACTCTTAAGGTTCCAGTTATGGGTCGTCGCTCCTCTGTGGTCAAATGGTACCATCTTAAAAAATCCCTGAATCTTTTGTTTCTCATTTGGTCGTTCTTCAGTGTTGCTTTGGGATTGGATTCGGATCACTCGGCTCTTTTGGAGTTCAAGGCTTCAGTTTCGGATCCACACGGAGTATTGTCGAGCTGGAGCTTAAACAGTTCTGGTCACTGTTCGTGGGCCGGAATCTCATGTGCTTCCAATTACCGGGTTGTTTCTTTGAACATAAGCGGTGGAGGTAATTCTGCTTCTTCATCTTGTACTCAAGTTTCTCAGTTTCCACTCTATGGCTTTGGGATTAGAAGGGATTGTTGGAATAGTGATGTGAAACTCGTGGGAAAACTGTCTTCGTCTCTAGCTAAACTCACTGAACTAAGCGTCTTGTCGCTTCCTTTTAATGAATTAAGTGGCGAGATTCCTAAAGAGATTTGGGCTATGGAGAATCTTGAAGTTTTGGATCTGGAAGGAAATTTAATTACCGGATCTCTCCCTAATGAGCTTAAAGGCTCAAAGAAACTGAGGGTTCTCAATCTGGGTTTTAATAAGTTAACAGGAGAGATCCCAAATTCGTTCAGAAATTGTGTCGGGCTGCAAGTCTTGAATTTGGCTGGAAATCAAGTTAACGGGACTGTTCCTCGTTTCATTGGTGAATTTAGGAACCTGAGTGGTTTATTCTTATCTTTCAATGGACTTAGTGGACCTATCCCTAGTGAGATTGGGCAGAACTGTGGAAACCTCGAGTATTTTGAGCTGGCAGGTAATTTGTTAACAGAAGCTATTCCAAGAAGTTTGGGTAATTGCACACAGTTAAAGTCGATACTACTCTATTCAAACATGTTCGAAGAGAGCATACCTGTTGAATTCGGTCAACTGAATCAACTTCAAGTGTTGGACGTGTCGAGAAACAGCCTTAGTGGATTCATTCCATCTCAGCTGGCAAATTGCACAAAGTTATCCATAATCGTGTTGTCGAACTTGTGGGATCCACTTATTAATACTTCTTACTCTGCAGGCAGTTCCTCAACCTCAAAATCTGCAGCCAATAGTGATGAATACAATTTTTATGAGGGAATGATTCCAGATGAAATTGTCAGACTGCCCGGTTTGCAGATGATATGGGCTCCTAGGGCAACAATGGAAGGCAGCTTTCCCAGAAACTGGAGTAAATGTAACACCCTAGAGATGGTGAACCTGGGTCAGAATTACTACACAGGAGATATCTCGGGGGTATTTAGTAACTGCAGGAATTTATATTTCCTGGACTTGAGCCTGAACAGGCTTACTGGCGAGCTTGTTGAAGAACTTCCAGTTCCTTGCATGAATGTGTTTGATGTGAGCGGGAATTTTCTTACAGGTTCTCTTCCAGCATTCAGTAATAACAGAACATGTTATCATCTTACAAGTGTGAAAAGAGATTCATTTTCAGCTTACCTTTCATTCTTTACCCATAGAGCTATGGTTGAAGCCAGTACAACATTGTTTGGAGATGGTTTTGGTCCTGCTGTGGTTCATAACTTCAATGGCAACAACTTTACCGGCCAACTGACGTTTTTGCCCATAGAACGTGAAGCATTTTTAGGAAAACCCATACCTGTTTATGCATTTCTTGCTGGTAGTAATGGGTTGACAGGGGCTTTTCCTGGAAGTATCATGGATCAGTGTCGACATATGAGAAGTTTGATTGTAAACGTGAGCAACAATGGGTTGTCTGGTTGGATCCCAGCGGATATTGGCTCTAGTTGCAGGTGTCTCCAGCTTTTTGATGTCTCTAAGAATCGGATTTCTGGATCCATTCCTCCAAGTATAGGGAATTTGGTTTCTCTCATTTCTCTTAATTTGAGTTGGAATATATTGCAAGGAGAAATTCCCAGCACTTTTGGGATGATGAAGAATCTCAAGTATCTCTCTTTAGCTGGCAATGATTTGAATGGGTCCATCCCAGTGAGCTTGGATCAGTTGAAGTCATTGGAAGTGCTTGATCTTTCCTCAAATTCTTTGTCAGGCAGGATTCCAAAAGATTTGGTGAATTTAAGGAACTTGGATGTCCTCCTCCTCAACAACAACCAGCTGTCAGGTGAGATCCCATCTGGATTTGTAAATGTGACCACACTAGGTGCATTTAACGTGTCTTTTAATAACTTGTCTGGTCCGCTACCCCCTAATGCCAATTTTACGAAGTGCAATAGTGTTCTTGGGAACCCTCATCTCCAACCATGCCATATCTTCTCTCCATTACCATCCACAAATCAGCTAGGGGTATTAGGGGATTCACAAAACGCTCCAGTACTTCCTCCAACAAGTTTGAATGAAAAAAGAGGCAATGGAGGGTTGAATTCGATAGAGATTGCATCTATAGCATCAGCATCAGCTATCCTGTTGGTTCTCATTGGTCTCATCATCATCTTCATTTACACCAGAAAGTTGAATCCGATATCCAGAGTCGCCGGATCTATACGAAGGGAAGTCACAGTCTTCACGGAAATTGGAGTCCCTTTGACATACGAAGATGTTGTACACGCCACCGGAAATTTTAATGCTGGAAATTGCATTGGCAATGGTGGATTTGGAGCAACGTACAAGGCTCAGATCTCACCAGGAGTCTTAGTTGCTGTAAAACGGCTTTCCGTGGGACGTTTCCAAGGCTTTCAACAATTTGATGCAGAAATAAAAACCTTGGGGAGGCTTCGGCATCCGAATCTCGTGACTTTGATAGGATATCATGCCAGCGAAGCGGAGATGTTTCTTATATATAATTATTTACCAGGGGGTAATTTGGAAAAGTTCATCCAGGAAAGGTCAACGCGGGCCGCTGACTGGAGAGTACTTCACAAGATTGCTCTAGACATAGCCCGGGCACTTGCCTACTTACACGATCAATGTGTGCCTCGTGTTCTTCACCGTGATGTCAAGCCTAGCAATATCCTTTTAGACGAGGACTACAATGCATATTTATCCGATTTTGGACTGGCAAGGCTTTTGGGGACTTCAGAAACTCACGCAACTACCGGTGTGGCGGGAACTTTTGGATACGTGGCCCCAGAATATGCAATGACCTGTCGTGTCTCTGACAAGGCTGATGTGTACAGTTACGGGGTCGTTTTGCTTGAGTTGATTTCCGATAAGAAGGCTCTGGATCCCTCGTTTTCCTCGTATGGAAATGGATTTAACATTGTTGGCTGGGCATGCATGCTTTTGAGGCAAGGACGAGCTAAGGAGTTCTTCACGGCCGGTTTGTGGGATTCAGGCCCACGTGATGATCTGGTGGAGGTGTTACATTTGGCAGTTGTCTGCACCGTGGAGTCTCTGTCAACTAGGCCCACAATGAAGCAAGTTGTTAGACGGCTAAAGCAACTTCAACCTCCATCTTGTTAAGAGGTGACTAACATTGTGTTGATGTCATGTAAAGGTAAAAGAAAGTGTAACTGTATTTTTAAATTTTAACCCATCAGCACTTTGACAAAGTAGCCCCTCCCCTCCCTTGAGAAATCTATGCAGTTTTTTTCCAATAGGTTCCATCTTTTTGAGTTTGTTTGTAATTGGTAGCTTTCATTGTAAATTTAGTATAGCTTTGCCCCATTTTTATGTCATCATGTGCCTGCCTTATTAGAGATTGTATTCCTGGATGCATCTGCAGAATGCAGATTATTATCTCTAACAATGTATACATGTATGTAACCCATTTATGTTGTCCTGTGCTCAATAAAATAAAATAATAGGAGACCTTTTTGTTCTTTAAAAAAGTAGAGATTCTTATGCTGAAAATTTCTGCGTGCTAAATTGGCGGGGAGCCTGGTACCTTTTTGTTTACCCCTTTTTATCATTACCCTAAAATTTAAGGTAGCTGAAATCTATTGCCTAATTGGTAATGTAGACGGAAATATTGTATCTGTATATTTTCAAATGGGAAGGCTGTATTTGCCTCTTAACTCTCGCAATACTCCAATGTAGAAATCAAACTCATGTTCATATAGGGGTGTTTCGTATTCATTCTGTTTTTTAAAAGCAGAAGCAAAATCAGAATCAATTTTTGATCTCCCAATTTCTAAAATACTACTTCTAGCCTTCTAGGAGCAATTTGGTAGCAATTTGGTGCACCCAGAAATACTTCTGTAGTTTCACCCAAACACTTCTTAACCTCTTACCAAAGATAGACCAATATCCATATTGCATCATGATAATTCATGATTGGGCACGCCATCTAGTCATACTGTTATAATGCACATGGGCCAAGCCAGTGGTGGACCCACGCTATTATCAGGTTTAGCACATGCTTCACCTCAAAATGAAGAACTGTCATTAGTGGGTACACTTGACTTTGGAACCTGTATGTTATTCATGTCCCATATTGATGATTTTCTTTAGAGAACGCAACTGCTCAATGTCAAATAAAAGAAATTCCTATTTCTTTTACTTCTTGTCCCTTGAAAATTTTCACCAGTTTGACTAGTAGTACAATAAGAAAATAGAGTAAGAATTGTGTGATTAAGATTTTTGCAAAACAGAGTGAAATAATAAACTGAGTTTTAAATGTATCCTCTCAACTTCCAAGTTTTCTCTTTGAGTTTTTGGTAGGGTTGATGTATATACTCTTAAGAGAGACCCGCGCTTAACTTAATCTTATATATATTCTTCCCTTTTGTATCCGGGATCTACAATGCCCTTAATCAAGACATATTTGTATTTATACCCAGATAGGAGTTTTTGTAATAAACTGAGTCCAATCTATTGAGTTAGCTCAATTTTAAGTTTTATAGATCCACATTTCTTAAATATTTGATTTGGGAATTGGGATTCTTAAGCGCCATATCATATGCATATATGGCTCTGTTTGGAAAGAACCCATAACAGTGCATTTTTCTTCAAGAACCTTGGGACAACACATACATTTGAAATGTAATTAGCTCTTGAGAATTGAATCTTATTTACAATCTTGGCAGTTCATTCATTGACTATTGCATCATTCATAAGGATTGGAAGTTTCAAACAACTATCATCTGAACAGTTGCCTGCAATACATCATTGATCTCTCATGCATCTGTACAGCCTCATCACTAATGACCTCAGTAATCAGATCCTTAAAGATTAGGCGCTCAATGTCCACCACTAATCTTGGAATCTCGCAGTCAGATTCCACCCAGTCCGCTGATTCGTGCTTCAAATCCATATTTATGATGCTGACTGATTCATCTTTCTCGGTCTCCATGCTGCTGTCTGAATTAGCAGGCCGTAGATAATCTATCTCTCTGTGTACTTCCTTAAGAAGCTGGTGTCCACTCGAATGTTTCCTGCCTTGCATCAGAAGCCCTTCTGGTGATAGTTTCTGGACAATGATTTCCTTAACTGTGTCAAATACCATCTTCCTGTGGGTTTTCTGATTAAACATTAGCGGGGAGCTCTGTTTTCTGCATCGTTCATTTTGTTCCAGCACATCAAACAATTCGGGGTTGATCAAATGGACGGTCGGATGAAGCCAGGTAATTGTTGAGGTACGATTCACATCTCTGAGGATTCCTGAGGCCAATAGCATCTTATTGATGTACTCATGATCATCATCAACATCATCATTATCATCATGGCAGAACAATTCTGTTTGGTCGACACAAGATGAGGAATTTGTCAATCTGAGATTATGAAGCAGGATCTCATCATCTTTAGACTTGTCATTCTTGATCTCTGAGCTGAGAATATATTCCACGTTGGTGGTGAAATCCTTTGAATGCCACTTTGCTTCATCATTTTCTATAGCATCATAATCTGTAAAAAGACAGGAATAGACTTCATGTTAGTCAAACCCTGCTTTGGGAAAACTATTGTTTAGATTCATGTTGCTTTGAATGGACTTGATGCTTTGAATGCCACTTTGCTTCACCAGTTTTACTATGGACTTATGGAGTCTTCTAATTCAGTTTTTGAAATTCAAAAGAACTTTTGGTGTAGTCTTCAAATATGTAAATTTTAATCATTAATACTAATTTCGATCTAAAGGGGCTTTAACTAAAGTCATTAAGACCTTGTAATGAGAAACATGACCCGTTAGATGGGCCTGAGGGAGTATATAAAATATAAATTGCAATGTATTTTCTCTGTTTATATGTCATATAGATTGCATAAAAATATATGTTATTTGAGATATTAGGGCAAGATAAGAACCTCTAAAAGCTGTTGATATCTTCTTCACCGGGGATGGAGAATCTTCAATGTAAAATGTTGAGTCAAGCACAGACACCGGACTTCTTTGTTCTTTCATAGAAATTTGAAGTTCAGAGATCGGCAGTTCCTCATTCAGCATCATTGAAGGATCCTGCATTGAAAAATGAAAGTGACTTGTTAGCTTAAATTAGGAAACAGGTTTCTCAAATAGATGTACAGGCTAGGCTAATTGCTTACCATCTCTTTACAGTTTCTTCTCGGTTTAGAGCGATATTTGCTTGTGACTTCAGTGTCCATACATGATGCCAAGCTGTTGTCACTTTCTGACTGTATCGAAGCTGTATCATATTGATCACTGAAGTTCTTTAAGTTATTGCGGATCTCAATCTTGACTTCTGGCTTCAGATTGCTGGATTTAAGCTTATATCTCCTGTTCCGCAATCCTGATTCTTTTGTTTGTGGTGTGCCTTGGTGCTTTCTCACTCTACTCAGTTCGAGCGGCGGGAGATGTGGTTGCAACCTTGGACTCACTGCACCAGTCGAGCCGCCCTGTACTGCTTTCCCGTTCTTCTTCTTTCCGTTAGAAAGGTGCTGACCTGCGTCTTTGTTGTAACTTCTCCTTGGTGACAAACTTTTCCTCTCATCAGCAACCAAATTTTCTCTGCAACTGACTGGTCTGATCTTGTCATCATTAAGCTTTGCTGGTTTCCTAATGATATTACGAGAAGAAGACTCCATTGACCTTCTTGGGGAGTGGCTGATGTTGTTTTGCTGGACTAAGGGAGTGTTTGTTTCTTGTCTTTCACTCCTTTGGATCGCTTCAAGTATTTGTTTTAGTGCTCGCAAATCCTTCCCGGATTTCTGAAACTCGAGCTCTGTGATCCTTTTCTCGATTTCACTATACACCGAGAAGCGCTGCTGATGTGGTGCTACCCCAGAACCTTTTATTACCATTTCATCCTCGTGGGATGAAGGAGAATACGATGGCTCTTCCAATCCCATTAACTTTGCCACAACACTTGGTGATCTTTTATGATTATTCCCCAATAAAAGGAAGTTTGATCTGGATTCACCTGCAGAAGTTTGTATGGACTTGACTCTACTGTCCAATGACAACCTTGGGATCTCTTTTACTTTCATCCCCTTTCCACCCGAATCTCTACCATCATAGGAGAGACGTCGAGGTTCTAAAAGTTTCTTAGCATTAGCTCTCATCAACCCGTCTGATTGTGAAGGTCTCGGGGAGTCTACATGTTTCACTACTTGAACTCTTCCTTCTGTTTTGGTCACTGTTTTGATGGATATACTACGGGCTTCTCGGTACATTGAGTCCTTCACCGCGCCTTTGAGATCCCGTTGGTGGAAGCTAGTTTGGTTGGAGGGTGGTGGTGGTAGTAATTCCAGTTTAGTTGTTTTGCTTTGGTCAAGTGGTGGGAGAATCTTGGACGACTCTTTGAAGACCTTTGGGATTTTTTCCTGAATTTGTTGAATCCATGGTAAGTTAATCTGTAAAATATGGTGTGCCATTGTGTGCAAATTCTTATTGTAGATCTCAAAATCTTACCAGTTTTAGCTGTTCTGCTGCACTTTCCATGTGGTTGGCGCCTGGATAAAATAGAACAGTGATGCATCAGTAAAAGACTATTTATTACTGATGGTAATAAAAATTACATAGATTCCTAAATGTCTTTTAAGGGTATATGCACACAGGTGAGCAAAAAACCTTCCCTAATTAATACTCGCTTTCTTGCTTCTGTGAGTTGTTTAAAAGTAAAATACCACGTAACTGATAAGAAGAATAGTGTAGAAGAGGTAAAAAAATCCATGAAAATTTTGAAAAAAATAAAGAGAAGAAGGTGAAAACAAGCCAAAAAAAGCAAGATATGAGTTGTTTAAAAGTAAAATACCACGTAACTGATAAGAAGAATAGTGTAGAAGAGGTAAAAAAATCCATGAAAATTTTGAAAAAAATAAAGAGAAGAAGGTGAAAACAAGCCAAAAAAAGCAAGATAGAAAATGTTGGAAAACAAATGAAAAATAGAGTAAAATTTGCCAAAAACAGAAATGTAAGTAATAAAAAAACATTCTTAAAAGGATTACAAAACAACAAAACAGCTAGTTGTAATGAAAAAATATACTACATCTTTTTGGAATATTAAAAATTATTTTAGCTCAGTATAAAGAACCTCAAGAAAGGCCAAAAGTGAATACTTTCGTTTCAAGGAGTGGGACAATTTACTTTCGTTTTCAATTTTTCAAGTTTTTAGCCAAAAAAAGCAGTTAGCCGAAGAACCCAGAATTGCAAAAATAGAAGATGTGGGCAAGAAGTGTTCTTTGATCGTGAAATGCAAAAAAAGAAACCTGAAAGCAGCCTTTTATTGGTGTGACGGCCGACACGCCGGAAATGGTGCCGTTCAAAGAGATGGAATATTCCGTTCATGCACCCAATCTGCTTGTTCAGATTCCGGTGATCATCCTCTCTCAGAGAAGAAACCGCCGCCGCTCTTACAGACATTTCTTTAATTTCTCTCCTCCTTCAATTGCGATCTCTACTTTATATGGATAATTACTAAGAAGAGCTTCTTTGTTTTTATATATAATGAGAATAAGAATTTCTGGGTTTCCTCACAGAACAGAGAAAGAACAGAGAAACCGAGTTTGTCTCTGGGAACTGTCAAGGAGAAGACAGCTTCCTTTAACAAGACTCGTTGGAGATGTAATAGGAGTGATTTTATACTTGTACTTTATTTTTAATTTTTAATTTTTAATTAATTATACCTGTTTTTTTGTTAAAATGTCGCTATAAAATGGTCTTCTCAACCTCGTGAAATATCCAAAAGGGCCCTGAAATGTGTCATGGATAAGGTTCTGAAAAGTTTCATAATTGAGGGCATTTTAGACTAAAAACTGGATGTTTGTAAAAGTCAAGAATTTGCTCGGTAAAGGAAAAATTTGCCCGAAATGTGTGCAGTAACTGAATTTGTTGAAACTGTAGATGATGCTCTGTTCCACTCAGTTGCCGACTTGAAAGGAAAAATGAAGAGTAATAGCCAGAAATATTTCAGGAGTTTCGATTTTGAAAACTTCAAGTTGGGTTTTGAAACTTATATTTGGACACAAAATTTTATGGAGTCAAGTATCTCTCCATCCATAAGATTCGAGAGTTTAAGAAAGTGGAAATAAATTAAAAATGTAGGATAATGATTGAGTAAGAAAAAATAAATGAATATTAATCACATGAAACTTTTCAAAAAGAGAAACAAAAAGATTTTTTAGTAATATCCAAAAAAAGTAAGTGAAATGAATTTTATGAAACGGAGCTATTACAATTTTATATATCTTACTTATCTTCATGATGATAACTCATTAATATAATAAATTAGTAATCGGTGACATCCTATAAAAATAAGTACTTTGATCTGATAAACATATACTATGTATTAAAAAGGTCTAATCTTTCTATTATAAATATTCTTATCGTCTATTTTACAAATTACAATCTCAAAATGTTCTTTTTTACCTTCGGGGGTGGGGGTGGCTGGCTGAGGTAAACTGAGGTCAAACTGCATCCATAGAGTATTGAACCTGGGACCTCCCATAAGGGAGAGTGGGTCTCAAAATGTTGTTACCGTCTTTTTTGCACTCCATTTTTGTACTCTCTCCATCTTCATAATTTCAAGGTGATTAAGGTGTGTATAAAAGAAATGAATAACAGCGATCACAAAATAATTGCTTAAAACTGCTAAATTTCTATGCTAATCACATAACGAAACTGATAAAGTTATGAGGGACGGAGCGAATAGTTTATTAATGATTTAATACTACATTCATATCTAATTTTCCTGGTTAAACTTTTAATGCAATTTCTAAACGCATAATGTTAGTCACACAAAACATTAAAGTAGGGAAAATGTGTAAATGAATGGTAGCCACACCATTCATAAAATAGCTACAGCATAATGCAACTTTTAATGCAATTTCTCACTCAACCACAACCATAATGCAATTTTTAATGGAGTAATCATTGACACCGATCTTAATATTATTATAAACATAATATAGCTAACTTGATAATGTATTAATGATCTTAAATCCAATGAGAGCATTAAAGTAAGAACAGGTACACACATGATCATACACAAAACAACTACTTTTTTTGTCAATTAACTAATATGATCACTAATCTTATCTGAGTACTAATAAGCTAGGTGGGGTGGAGGGATGGGGATGAGGCTATATGTGAGTGAAGTGGGCCATTGACTGAGAATATATCGTGGGTTATGTTATTGCCAAACAATTATATTTTGGGCAGGACAAAAAAAAGTGGGAGTGGTAGGTCTCTTTCTTGGGTAGAAGCTAATTAAGAGTATTTCTCTCTATCATTTCCCTTTTTTCTACATGGGGCATGTGGAGCTTGTCAGATATATGGATCATAATAAGAAGTGGGTTTATTGTATATGTACTGGCCAAAGTCTGTACCCTTTCCAAAAAAAAGTCTGTACCCTTTATTACAACTATTCTCCTTGACCATTTGTATTATCTCCTCCTCTATTTATTCACTTTCCCATAAAATAGTTCTCATCAGGATTTAGATCGAGGTTTAAGAAAGTTAGAATAAAATGAAAATGTATTATTGTGGTTGAGTAAGAAAAAAGTAAATGAATAGTAGTCACACAAAACTTTCTAAAAAGGAAAATAAGGACAATTTTTTTGGGACGGTTCAAAAAGGAAACCGGAAACTACTTTGCAGGATTGAGGGAGTATCTATTTAGTCATTTAGTTATATATACTTTTTGCGCCATTAACGTTTGGAAAATTTGAAGTTAATATTGAGATGAGATTTTTTATGTTATACTCCGTAGTATTGAATTTGTAAAAGTAGGATCCATGTGCGTAATTAGACAAAAGAGGCGATCCCGAGTTCATTAGACTCATCCTATACTTTTAAGAATTCTCTCAAAATGAACAATTCATCAGGTTTCATGTCTTTTATACATTACTCAACCTAATAAATCGCTCTTAATTGATTGATCGTGGCATAATTCTCAAAAGAATAGCCACAAATATAAAAATAGAAATTACTCCAAATAGGACTAAAACTATGACAAAAACTCAAAATAGGGCTTACTATGTTTTTCTTTTCAAAATAGGACCATATTAGTCATATTGGAAACATACATATTTTTTCATTCCATTCTTACATTTCCTTTAAATTTGAGTTAATTAAATGTTTAATTCATAATAAATTCTAAAAAAATTCAAAAATTCGTAGAAAAATAATTAAAAAATTTATATAATATTTATAAAATAAAAAATTAAAAAAATATTTTTTTTAAAAAAAAATTAATAAAAAATAGTAAAACTCCACAAAAGAAATTAAAAAAATATATGGATGCCTTTCCCACCGCCTATACTACCTCCCTGCACCACCATCTCCGGGCGGTGAAAAAATGCCACTTTTCCTAAAAACTGCCATTTTTTTTTCTGAAAATGCAAAAAACATGGCATATTTCTCTTTGAGAATGCCAACATTTTCATTGTTTTCTGCCATAAATATGGAATTCGTAATGAACTTGACATTTTTTCCCCTGGTGGAGGTGGTGGTGCAGAGGCGGCGGTGAATTTTTTTTTTTTTTGAGTTTTTTTTATTTTTTTTGAAAATAAATAAATAAATAAATTATTATTATCGAAATATTATTTATTTATTTTTTAGTATTTTTTACGAATTTTTTATTATTTTTTATTATTTTATTATGAATTAAAACATTTCAATAGCTATAGGGGTATATCTGTCTAAGACACACATAATTAGTCCTATGAAAACATAGTTTATTTTTTGTCCTATTTGTGCAAAGTGAGTGATTTTTAGTCCTATTTTGATAATTAAACATATAAAAATCACCAGTGACAAAAAGTTAGCAGTGTCGTCATATTTTCCCAAATTTTAGTCAATTGTTTTATTCAACGTAAAGTTAACTATTTCTTGGAAATGAGATTCTATTTAGTCATATTTAAGAAAAACTCTTTGATTAATTCATGATTTTATTGATCATGAAACATGTCAATTGATATGGATGGGGGAAGTGACATTTTACTTTTTCTTTGTTAGCATGAGGCGATTCTGATTTTCTAAATTAATCACGAGCTTTCAAGAACCCATTCCAAACCCATTCCAAACCTTCCAGGTTCCCAACTGACTCACACACTACTATGAAGCTAAACGAACCAGTTATTACGCGGCCATTTGAGCTAACCTCGGGGCTAGAGGATCATTATTATATTTGAGATACCCTCAAAATCACCCACTTATGGTGACAAACTTTGTTTGATACCACTCAATGCTACATTTTAAAAACATTGATATCATTAGATACGAATTAAGGTTTTGATATCAATTGGATATAGGATGTAAATAATCGGCATCGACAAGGTGAACAATGGCAAAGATAGACATTTTTAATGATCACCGTGACTCTTAACCTTCTGACTCAAAGGTAAAATCGGACAATCTTACCTACTTTCTTCATATTTTAAAATTTTCTACACTTTTTTTGAATGTATTTAAAAGTTTATTATACTTTTCTTTTTTGCTATTTTTTTTCCTTTAAAAATACTCAATTACACTTACTTTTTTTACTTTTTATCTCCTCTTTCAAACTTTTCCACCACCTCTAGCTCCCTTTTTCTACACCATTCATTACTCCTATTTCATCCTTAAATAGTGTGTCCAAACCTATTGTAGTGCACTTGTAAATAAGGGGAGAGTATGATACTCCAGTGATATTTTTTATTGGATCAACATTTTCTAGTCTGATTTGGTTTAATCCAGCAGATATCTTTTTCGTACTTCGTATGTATTTTATTATTACTGAAGTCTGGCCGGGTCAAGTCTGATTAGTTCAAGCCTGTCTAAGGATATTTTCACTTGAAATGACTTCTCTCAAACCAGATCAGATTTAAACTAGCAAAACTAGATCATACATGATGAGACTATATCATACTAGATCAAATTAGACCCGAATTAAACATACCAGATCAAACTAATCGAAACTAGAGCAAACTTAGACAATAGTAAAATACACATAAAACACACACATATCGACTAATTTTGTATAGGACAGACAAAATCGGATAATAAAATATTAATTTAATTAAAAACTACTAAGTCTGACTGATTTGATCTCAAACTGAAATTGGTCTAACTAAAATCCTCGTTCATGGAGATAGTGAAATGTATTAAGTCCCTCGATTCCACCCTAAAATTACATTTAAAAGGCCATATGGTGGTTCGTTAGAGTAGACAATCTTGTAATTCACGTGCTCGTGCTCGTTGTTGAGATTTATCAGGATCTAATTGCTCATTGGAGCTTAATTGATTCTGATATCATATTATGCTGTGAAATTTTATCCTCATCAACGTGATATGATAAGTAATTCAAAATTTTATATATTACTCCGTACTACCTCCGTCTCCCTAAATTTAGGACAAATGGCTGTGATGTGGTTTTTTAAGAAAAGATAGAATTGTTTGGTTGATATTGAATTGATAAAGTATGAATAAAGTAAGAATGAATTCTAACCACTCAAATATTACCAAATACGGTATGAGACAAACGTAATGGGACGGACGAAAAGGGTAAAACGGGACAAAGTTAGGGAGACAAAGGGAGTACTAGTTACTTCTACCTCCATCCCTCTAATATTGAGACAGAAGGGAG